GGTGGTGCTGGAGCTGGCGCTGGCTGGGCCGCGCTGCGGGATGCTGTGTCTCCCAGAGGCAAAGCGTGCGTGCTGGGCAAGGGTGAGGACCGTTCTCGGCAAGGCCTCGGTTTAGGTGCTCTAACGTGGCCCCCAAGAGTGCTCTAGGCTCCCTCCATGGGCTTGATGAGAGCAGCTTTCTAACGTGTCACCACCTAACGTGAAGGAATGAGGATACTCCCTCTTCTTTCGAGTTTTCGGGTGACGGGAGCCCAACACCTGCTTGGTAGCGTTACTGTCAACTTGGTACTGCAACCTGCGTTTTCAACAAAGCAAACAGCAGGCTAGCTGTGGCTTGCGGTCCCCTTGGGCTGGCAGTGCTGATCGTGACCCCTACTCTGCCAGCATGGAGGAGGACATACCTTTTTTCTAATCCGGCACTGCCTTTGTCTTTCACAGGTGCATTAGTAGCTATGGTGCTGTTTTCATAAATAATACTAAAGTGTAGATTAGGCATACTGCTGCACCCCTGACGAAGAAGGATTAGGAAAATTTGTTTACCTTCCTGCAACTGAAAATTTTCTTTCAAAATATAATCAACATCTCTATAGATCATTTTTGTATTATTGTGTGCATAATACATCTCATTCAAGAAATAATGCAAAAAGGGCCTCTTAAATTTCAACTCCAAAATTAGCAGCTAAGGTTGAATGTCATCAGCATTGCTCATTCAATAAAAGACTTGTTATTCATGCTTGCTTATGTGTTAATGTGTTCTTTATTCTTCCCTGTTTAGAGGAGTATTGTGGGTAAAGTAATGCAATTTGGAGAAGAGTTGCAAATAGCTATAGAAGCAAGCATACTACTGAGGTCACAGCATGATTTTTTCTCCTCCTGCGTGATCAAGTGCTCTTTGCAGCTTGATCTTGGTGTAGGAAGAGGACATCAAAAATTATATACTATGATAACAGAAGATTTTTATTTCTCCTAAAAGATTGGCAGATGCTCTGAACCACTGCTTTTGCTATGAGACATGGGGAAGAGAGGAAAAAACAGGAGGTTTCTAGGTGATAGAGACCAGGGCAGTAGATAAAGGTGCAATTACAGCAACAATTACAATTATTTCTTCTCTGTGGTGTCTGCGGGTGCTTCTTGGTTCTGTGAGAAGACGGGAAAATGGAGTTCGTTTGTTTTTTAAATGTGTTAAGGCCAAGGGCAGAAGTAAGCATATTAAATGTTTTCAAGTACAGTTCCAGGTAATCATCCTTAAGGTTCTGCCAATGCACAACATGAGGAGTTGCTTCCAATTCGTATCCTCATGTGAGCAAGGCTAAAGAGCATTTGATGCTTTGTCCTCATGGTCTGTAAGAAATGAGTTGAAATCAGCGAGAGTCCCGAAGTGAGTTCAGGGAGCAGGATTTGTTATGGTAGCTTTAACACTTCCACCAGCAAACCTTATTTATGCAGTACTGAACTGGAGATAGCGATGACTGATAGCACTAGCTCGCTAATAGGAGCTGTGACTGCATCTTCACAGTCAAGTTTAATGAGCGGTCTCAGCAGTCTTCATGCATTCCTTCATTAAAAGCATCTTTCCTTCCAGCTTGTGTAATTCAAATTCATAAGTGACAATTTTGCTAGTTTACAATGTTTCCATTTTATCTCTTTTTATTTTACTGGATATTAGCAAAAGCAAATTTGCAGAAGCAAAAGAAACTGATTACTCTCAAATTCTGGTATGGCTGACTTACTGCTGATCCTGAATAAAGTGTAAAAACAAAAAAAAAACGTGGACAGGAGAGTTCTTAGCTATTAATCTGACCTTACATAGTTTCAGAGTTTGCAGCTCTGTCCTGAAAGAAAGATTTAATGTGGTGTCGCGGTTTAACCCCAGCCAGCAACTAAGCACCACGCAGCTGCTCGCTCACTCCCCACCAGTGGGATGGGGGAAGAGAATCAGAAGGGTAAAAAGGAGAAAACTCATGGGTTGAGATAAGAACAGTTTAATAATTGAAGTAAAATAAATTAGAACAGTTAAATAGGCAAAGCAAAAACCGTGCACACAAAACAAAGCAAAACAAGGAATTAATTCACTAATTCCCATGGGCAGGCAGGTGTTCAGCCATCCCCAGGAAAGCAGGGCTCCATCAGCATAACGGTTACTCAGGAAGACAAACGCCATCAAACCAATATCTATCTATCTATCTATCTATCTATCTATCTATCTATCTATCTATCCATCCATCCATCCATCCATCCATCCCCCTTCCTTCTTCTTCCCCCAGCTTATATACTGAGCATGACGTCACATGGTATGGAATAGCCCTTTGGCCAGTCTGGGTTCAGCACCCCCCGGCTGTGCCCCCTCCCAGCTTTTTGTGCACCCGGCAGAGCAGGGGAAGCTGAAAAGTCCTTCACCAGTGTGAGCACCACTTAGCACCTATTTAGCAACAGCTTAGCACTACTTAGCAAGAACCAAAACATCAGTGTATCATCGACATTGTTCTCATCCTAAACCCAAAACACAGCCCTATACCGGCTACCAAGACGAAAATCAACTCTATCCCAGCTGAAACCAGGACACATGGAAATGACTTGCCAAATTATGCTGAATTATGATTTTTAATGTAATTATGGACATATTTTTACAGGGCATAGGCGTATTCTGATTTTTTCCTCAAGAATCCATTTGTGGATGCAGCTGACTTCTTTATCAGTATTGAGCTCTATATACTATTTATAGACTAAGGGACTGAATTAGAGGCCCTAAATCTTAATTTGAAAGAAGGCACACGCCTATTTGTAATGAGCATGGAGGTTCAGAATGGTCTTCCCTACATAGAGGTGGTAACTCCTCTTACTGCCATGGTGTGACCTGGTTGTACAAGAGGCATTAATTTTCTGAGTTGCTTTGAAAAGGGATAACCAAGGGAACTAAACATTTGCTTAGTTTTAGAGTAACGTTAATCTTCCTGAGCCTTTGTAACCCGAAAGTGACACAGCTTTGGTATGTTGTGACAAGGCTTTGTCAACAAGAAGTGTGCATTTGTGTCATGCCAGAGAGTCGGCTGTTACGCTCTTGGTAAGTACAATTCCATTATTGATGGTGCAAAGAGAGCTCTTGGTTAAAATGCCAACAGCAAACAAAGCAGAAGTCCGCTTTCTCCCCTCCCTCCCCTGACTTGTTTAGGTCAACAGTTACTGCAATACCAGGAAACTGTGAATTGAAGATAATAACGTGTATTAATAATAGTTAAGGAATCATGCCATTTGTCGTATGCGTGTATAACTCATGTCAGTACATATGTATTTGATTATCAATAATTTCCAAATGATTTAAGCCAGTATGTTTGAGGGCCCAAGAGAAATTGAGGGGTGTGATGTCTTTATTACAGAACTTTAGCTGACAACAGATCCTTCTGTCCTTCCCAGCTGTAAACTTACAGTCCTACAGATCAGAAGCCGAGAGATCATGGTTTGGTCCCTGCTGTGCAATATTATATATTAGATATTATATGTTTTGTCAATTAACATTTTGATGTTGTAAAATATAAAAGACTTCTACTAAGGTAGGTCAAGCCAGATATCTTTTTGATGCACACCTTTAATTTGGGGATTCAGGTAGCTGAATTCAGCGCCAGGAACAGTTGAATCTGCATGTGAACAACTGATGTAGGTTTTCACTTAGTAATCAAATCCTTCGGTTTCTCTCTTGTTTTTTCTTTTTCTCTTGCAGGAAGATCAGTATCTGCTTAACTATTGATTTTAATAGCCATTACTGCTAATAAAAGAATGTCACCATACAGTGATTGATACTCAGGGTGCATTTTGTGCATGAAAAAACATGCAGCCACTGGCCTGTGGGGTACTTGATGCCTCCTGTGCTTTGCAGGCTGTAGAATTTGCTCTTCTGTCTTTTCTGGCATGCCAGATGAGGCCCGTCATCCTGGTCCTGAAGTGGAAGGGCAAAATCTTGGTTCTCCTGGGCTCAAGGGCTTTGTTCTCTTATTCAGAAGTTCTGGAACATAGTTCTAGGACTGACACGATCTTAGGACATAGCACCATAAAAATAGTAACTCTGGGAGATGGGTTGTTAACTGGAGCAGAGTTCCAGGTTGGACTCTTCTTCCTGTCTTCTGCAGCATTCTGGAACATTTTTCCTATGTTTCTCCAATTTATTAGCTCTCTATCGTTAAACCTCATTTAAAAACATATACCCCTTTGCCTGGGCTGCT